CTAGAACCCCTCCGAAGCATTTCCGGAGTTTCTGAGAGCTTTCTAGAGTGTTTTATAGCGTTTTCGAGAGATTCTGGCATTGTAAAGAGTGAAGGGCTGCCAAAAAGCACCCTAATTTCAAAGAATTAATAGATAGCTTGCCTCAGAGGTTTCTATACTCTCTCTCTCTACTTTACCGCTTAAATTTTAATTATTCAATAGATATTAGGGTCATGTAGTCATATTCTTAAATTCCATAAATAAAAGGGTAAAAGCGTATTTTCATCGGTTTATTTATTTAAAATAGTTGGCCTATCATAGGGAACCCAAAAGGGGCATCGTAAGGGAACTAACACTTCCCTTACATGTAACTAACTCCCTTACCCAACTCTGGTTCTAATGACCAAAGTTGGTTTTTCGAAAACCCACGCCTTTTTACTCCTTTTCCGGTGTTTTCGGTAAAAACATCGGTGGCGACTCCAAAAAGAACCCTTCAAAAACTAGTTCTTGGTTTAGCCCGGTTATCGGACAATCCAAGAGCGCTCTTTCAAAAACCTCGCCCCTAGGTTCAACCTGGTTATCGGACAACCTAAAGGCATTGTAACCACACCAATACTAACGCGAAAATTGGAAAGTCGGAACCATCGCGTCGCTCCGACCGCCTCGTTTTGACGGCGGCGACAAGAAGGGTCCTTTCTATCATAAGCTTTTTCTGTTTTCATTTGTTGTTTTCTTTGATATTTCGTTTATGTTTTTATTTGGTTTGTACAATTAATTGGTCTTTGATCAGAAATACTCCCTGAACTACTTTTAATATGATAAAGGTGTTTGATTTTGAAAGCAAAAACTGAGTTAGAAACTTTAGATAGATCAAACAATACATATTTTGATAGTTTTAGCCGATATAAAATCATTTTAATCGATTAATTCCATTCACAGACATACTCACATAGACAATTCGTACTGTTTTAATCAATTAATTTAATTTTTAATCGATTAAATTCATTTACAAAAAATTCACCTTGGTTATATGTTGTGTTTTTAATCGATTATTTTTGCGAAAGAATCGATTAAAAGTTCTAGGATGTGGAACTGTATCGACTAAAAATGATTTACATCAATTAAATTCACTAATTATGTTATCATATTCTATTATTGTGCAAATTTTCCACTCATTCTTGGGTTGTTAATATTCATCAGCAGTATGATCTCTGATTTTTCCTAACACCATATAACTATTGGATTTTAGCATATTTAACTTGACTTTAAAATCTTTGCAAATTTTCTCATAAGAGTTAAAACAAACAACAAAATATATTCATTAAACTTCTTGCTCGTGACCACTTTTATAAAATTCGAAATGAATTAGGGATCTTAGATACATCAAACATCACTTAATTTTCATTTCTGAATGTTTTAATTGATATAAACTAGCTTTAATCGATTAAATTTACTTATAATGAGACTTTTTCATACTGTTTTAATCTATTAAATTTCGATTTAATCGATTAAATGAACTCAGGTTTCTATCATTATTGTTTTAATCGATTAAAACATTATTTGTATCAATTAAAATCATTAACAGAATCAAATTAGTCGATTATGTCCTATTTTTAATCGATTATTATTCTGCAAAACAATTTAAAGGCTTTAGTTAATGGTTGTTCTTGTAACATGCTACTAGAGCAAGGTTCCCTTATCTTTACATGTATCTATTGTATTCATTGCAAACGTGTTAAGGAAGATAAGTTTGAATCAACTTTAATTGTCCTTGTTAGAATAATATGTCTCAAATTTTTTCCTGAACATATAATTTCTCTCTAATCTTTAATGTTTGTTGTGACCTAAATACATCTTTATATCTTGTGCTCATGTTTGTAGTATATCTTTTCTTCCCTATTTTTTATTAAGTTAAAGGGGGAGAAATGATTAATAATAAATACTCACTAATCTATATATCCAAGTAATTTCTTTTGCAGATCAGGATCTTTCAAAGAGATGTTTGTCTTCATCAAATAGGGGGAGACAGAAAGTGATGAAGATCTTATTGAATCATTTGATAAAATGAAGATCTTGTGAATTTTATGAAGTCAAAGGCTACTTGGGTTAAAGGGTAGAGTGATTAGTGAGTCTGCATCCATACATAGGTATAATCATTCATATCTCTCTGCTGCATGAGGATTAATCATTTGAAAGAAATAAAAAATGCCTCTAAAAATGTTTTAATTTGTTAAAAATTGTATTAATCGATTAATCTGTTCTTATGAAATAGTTTTAACTGATATGTTTTCGAAATAATAAATTAAAATCATTTAAAACATTTGTTGGAGTTGTTTTAATTGATAGACTTTCGAAATAATTGATTACTTTCATTAAAAGAGTGTTTGAAAACCTTTTTCCAGTATTTTAATTGATATAGATTCGAAATAATCCATTAAAATCACTTAAGTTGTTTTGAAAAGTGTTCTAGTAGTATTTTAATCGATATAACTTTGAAACAATCGATTAAAACAACTTAAAGTGTTTTTTAATCGATGTAATATAAAAAATAATCGATCAGAATAACTTGAGATGTTTTGAAAGATGTTCTGTCAATATTTTAATCTATGTAAAATTGAATTAATCGATTAAAATAACTTTAGGGACTTTTTACTAAGTGTTTTAATCGGTTAAAACTTGTTGTTATCAGTTAAAATCACTTAGAAAGTTTTGTGAAAGGTTTTGGCATAATATTAATCGATTAAACTGCGAAATAATCGATTAAAACAACTTAAATGACTTTTTCTTAATTGTTTTAATCGATTGAAACGTTGTCGCATCAGTTAAAATAAATCTGGAAAATGATCAAGAACATTTTAATAGATTAAAAGATGTTTTAATCGATTAATCAAAGACTTTTAACATACCAAAAGAAAGTTTTAACAGATTAATTAAACCAGTAGTTGAAATAAAATTCTATATAAATAGGATTGCTTCAATGTTTTAAAATACACCTTTGAGCATTCAATTAATCAATCATAAGAGAAGTTTTTCAAGAAAGAATCATGCAAATTTTGTGGTGTTTTTCAAAGTTCTTTCTTGAGGCATTTTTTGCATTCTTTTTGTGAAGAAACTCATTCTGCAAGAGCTGTATAATCCGGGTTTGATTATTCTAGTTTCTTCTCTTTTTTTCTTTTAAATTTCCTTACTTATTGTGAGTGTCTGGAATTATTGGACACTGGTTCTATAGCTGGAATTTGGTTGTAGGTTGGTACAAGAACTAGAACTTAGTTATTGGGTGAAGGTTTAGGTGCAAGAACTGGATTTTGGTTCTTGGGGTAGATTGGGTGTTGTGTGATTCGGAATTGTAATTTGTAAAACATTCAATCTAGTGGAACTCAGCTGGAATTTGGCTGTGAACTGGATGTGGCCCTGGGGTTTGGGTGAACCAGTATAAATCTTAGTTGTATTTCTCTAAACCTTACTCTCTTTAATTCTGCTGCTGCTCTATATTGAATTGCTTGTTTTTTTTTATTCAAAAAGAGATCAGAATTCAAAATCTTTGAAATAGATAATTTGTATCTAGAAAGTTCAAAAATTTTTCAAAGATTAATTCACCCTCCACCTCTTGATTTCAGCCTCTATTTCTAACAACTATATTAGGAAAAAATAAAGATTTTAAATATATTAGTCATTATGATAATTATTTGTAACTGTTTAAAAATGTATTAGTCATTATGAAATGGAAAGTTGTTATCATGAAAATTAGTCTTTCTATAGAGCTAGCCGTTATGAATCTATATATAGTTATGGAATGTTATGCAATGTCTCACATCTTCTAGGATTACAATATTATTCTGTTTTCAAACACTTCAATTATCCATATAATGGATTTTGAAAACATTGATTTAAACGCATTGTTGGATCAAGTCATAGATGGAGAACTTGAAGATAACAATGATGAAGAAATCATGATGTTACTTCTTGAGTACTAACAACAAGTCGATCACAACGATGGTGACAGACAAAGAAAAAAGGTAGTTTATCAAAATTGTGAAGAAGGTCATCATTTATCGTTCAATAACTATTTTGTTAAAAACACCGTATATATGGAATCTCAATTTCGAAGAAGGTTTCGTATGTGAAGGGAGGTTTTTGCCAGAATTATGGAAGTCCTTGGCAATCACGATGCTTGTTTTACACTGAGGTTAGATGCAACATGAAGAAGATGTTTATCACCTACTGATAGTGTGAATATATTCGATATGGACAAAGCACTACAATAGAATGTTTACAATAATTTGTATCAGGCATTTATGCAGTTTTTGGAAATGAGTATTTAAGAAGGCCTAACAACGAAGACATTGATTGACTACTACAAATGGGAGTGACACGTGGCTTTCCAAGTATGTTGGGATCAATTGATTGTATGTATTGAGAATGGAAAAATTGTCCTGTTGCATGGAAAGGTCAATTTTGTTGAGGTGATCATGCTAACCCGACAATCATTCTCGAAGTTGTGGCATCACAAGACTTTTGGATTTGACATTTATTTTTTGGTACTGCAGGGTCAAATAATGATATTATTGGGTTAAATGCATCTATTATGTTTAATGAAATTATGTCAGGTTTTGCACCTCTAGTGCACTACACTGTGAATGAAATGCAATATGAAATGAAATATTACTTAGCAGATGATATTTATCCAGATTTTTCCACATTTATGAAACTATTTTAATGTCATAAGGACAAAAGAGTAAATTATTTGTTCAACAACAAAAGTCAACACGAAAGGATCTTAAATGTGCATTTGGAATCCTTCAATCTTGATTTACAATTATACGTGGTTTGACATACTTTTGGGATGCTCATACATTGAATAACATAATCTATGCATGTATCATACTACACAAAATTATTGTTGAGGACGAATGACACATTTATCAAAATCATGTTGATTGTGATATTAGAGAAAATGACATGTTGACTATTGATATATCTTTAAGTCCTCATCCCAGTTTTAAATTTACATATTTTCAAAGAAGAGTAATGAACATGTGGAAGAAGCTTATCAATTGTTGGATGAAATGATTTCACGAGGAGTTAAACTAGATACTTGGAGCTATAATGCAATACAAGCTTACCATTGTGATCCTTGTGAAGTCAATAGGTAAGTAAGGTTAATGTTTAGAATGGAAAAAAATAATTGTCTTTCTGATCCCCATACATATAACATGGTGTTCAAATTGTTCATTGGGATAGGAAGGTTTGATAAGGTAATTGAAGTTTGGGAGAACATGGTGGACAAAACATTTTATCCATCTGTCTCAACATATTCTATCTTGATTCATGGCTTGTGTAAGAAGAAGGGAAATCTAGAGCAGGCATGTTGTTGAATATTTGGCAAGCATACCAAAATTATCAATCGCAATATAGTATTTCGATTAAATAAAAGTCGATCCCACGAGGAACGGTTTCAATGGAATTTCCAAATCATATGCTTACTAAGTATATTGAAACAAAATTGGGTTTTCATAAAGATTAGGATTGAAATTAAATGATAAATAACAGTAAAGTGTGTTTAGAAAATATCAAATAAAAGAACTTAGGATTGACTTCCTTCCTTTTCCCTCTTTTGCATAATGACTAGGTCAAATTAAGAACATCAATTAACCTATCAATGATGGTACCACCTACTCAAATCATTCACTTTGATTCCTCGCATGTGAAATTCATAAGAAAACCTGATAAATATCGATTCCTCACACAATTAAGAGATTTTTCAGCATTAGGTTTAGGGTGTTAAGCACTTGATACATTCATTTCATTCTTGGTAATTAACATAGCAAATATTCTTACCTTATCTAGGGTTTCAAGAAATATTTTCCAATCATATCCCAAACATCAAGAATAAATCATTCCAAGGCACAAAAGATAAGAATAACAACATCAAAACATAGATTAATATCTCAAAATATCACCATGATACAAAAGAGTTCCTAGGAAGTGCACCCAATCCTAAGAGAACGAAGTTAGCCACTCATGGTGGTCATTACAATGCTCTAAAATGAGGATGAATTGAAGAATCCTTGAAGAATAGAATAGCAGTCGCGCCTCTTCTCCAAAAACCTAAAATTACATCTCAACACGTGTCTTATATTTTTATAGGAAAATTTAGGTCAGGCCTATCATCATTCATTCGCTTAAGCGACCAATTATTCGCTGGAGCCAAAAATAGAAACTTTTGCTCAAGCAAAAAATGTCCGCTTGAGCGAGTAGAAACCCGAGAACTTTATCATATTTTCGCTCAAGCGAGAGTAGATGTTGCTTGAGCGAGTGCACACCCGCGAGGTTTGTCATCTTTTCGCTCAAGCGAGAATGGAAGGCGGTTGAGTGAGAAAACTCCCGAGAGATTTCACGTATATTTGCTCAAGCGAGTGTAGATGGCACTCGAGCAAATTTCCAGTTGAAAATCTTCTTCTTTCTTTCACTTTGTCTTCAATTATCTTCACAATTATGATCTTTGCTCTTGTATCAAGGTATTATACCAATTCATCTTACATTGGGAGAAAAATAGATTAAAATCAATAATATTTAAGTGGTTACATAACAATTAAGAGCATAATTACATTAACTTTTACCACTTAACACATGTAAGTATTTTGAAATGATGATTGATGAAGGAATACCACCATATGTTACTACTGTTGAGCTACTAAGGAATCAACTCTTGGGTTTAGGGCTATTAGATCACATTGAAATGCTGGTTGATAAAATGAGGCAGAGCACTTCCTATGCAACTCAAGAATTGGCAAATATTATGATTGGTGATCAAACAACTCATAATACTTTGAGACATGATCAGATGGACATAAAAAGTGATTGAGGAAGTAACTATTTGTTTCTCATAATACTTTCTCATTATTCTATTTTGACAAATATGTGAAGGAAACTGTTTCATTACTGTAGAGCACATAACGAAGATGTTAAACCCATTGGCTATGGTTAACTGATGCATTTTGAGGTGCTAACTAATGTTATAATTCTTCAATGTAGCTTGAATGACATATTGCAGATGCAAGGTAATATAAAGTTTAAAACTCTTGGGAAGTTTGCATGGATCACCTCTGTTTCTGTATCATGAAGAAATCATTCCCAGCCTGGTGCGTTCATTAAGGCAAAGGTTGAGTTTTCTCGATTGTAATTGCTAGTTTGGGTGAGATTTAGCATTATGCAACTTCTTATATTATACAGTTGTACGTAGGTTGTTCGTGCATGTGAATTTTGTGAACTTTTCGTTTCCTATAACATTATGGATGAGAAACTATTATAGCATTTGGATGCTACCAAACTCATGAAGAGGATAAGAGGAAAGGTAAATGTGTATGTAACAGATAAATGGAAGGGGAACAAACATGCGTGAAGAGTTAAGATACTCTGCAACATGGGATATGCCTCCACCCGTTCCTCCTCATTGAGAAATTTTGTATGTATTTCATATTCTGATTTCTCGTAAACAAGGAGACCAATTTATATAGTGTAACAGTTAACAACAACTTAACTATCTTTGCTAAGCTAGCAACAATTAACAATAGTGATGTCGTCGTTGTCAAAAGAGGTGGTCGGAGCGACGTGATGGTTTTGTTTAACTCACGTTTTTAAAAGTGTGGTTCAACGCCTTTAGGTTGTTCGATAACCGAGCTGGACCTAAGGGCGAGGTTTTCGAAAGGTTTGAGGAGTTGCTACCAATGTTTTTACCAAAAACATTGGAAAAGGTAAAAGAAGGTAGTGGTTTTTTAAAGAAAAACCAACTTTGGTCATTACAACCAGAGTTAGGTAAGGAAGTTAGTTACGTGTAGGGAAGGTATTAGATTCCCTACGACGCCCCTTTCGGGTTACCTATGATTGACCATTTTTATAAAGAAATAATAACTCTAAAATTATGCTTTTATCCTTATTTATTCATTGCGAAAATTAAGCTATCGACTACATGGCCCTAAATGACTAATGCACAACGATATTATCTAAAAAGCAATAAAATAGAGAAAGGAATATGGAGGAACCTTTGAAGCAAGCTTTTTATATTATGTTCTTTGAAAGAGGGTGCTTTTTGGATATCTCCATGCTCTACAATGATGATCTCTCTTTCTCATAGCACTCTAGAACGCTTTCTAAGAACTCTAAGAACTCTGGAAATGATTCAGAGGGGTCCTAGGAGAGTAATTTGAGAATGGTACAGTAGGGAAAGTTGTAAGAGTGTGTGAAAAGGGTGAAAAAGTCCCCCCCCCCTTTTATAGGAATTCGCACCTGTCAAGTCGGGACCACCGTCTCGCCAAACGGGACGGCAGTCTCGCCAAACGGGACGGCAGTCTCGCCAAACGGAACGGCGATCTCGCCATTGGCGAGTGGCGAGACAGCGGTCTCGCCCTTAGCCAACGGTGAGACAGTGGTCTCAACCCTTTGGGTGAAATTTCTTATTTTTCTTGTACAAAAATCCTTCCTATTCTAATATGGGGCCTATTGATCAATCCTAGGGACCTTTTAGGCCTTGCCCATCTTCGAACGGAAGTCTTCTGCTCTTTATTTTGAGGTCGGGCAAGATTTGGGGTCTACAGCTGGCCCCCCCTTCACCTGACTAGCCGATTGTTGGCTCAACATGCCAAAAAGATCGGCTGGAGGGTGAAGGAGTTAACCCTCTTGCCCGGTTGTCCTTCGGATGCTCCTTCTTGCTGTAGTCAACCCTCTAGACGATAAATGTGTGTGTGCCTCCGGGATGCTCCTTCATGCGGTAGCTGACCCCTTTGGACAAAAAGGTGTGAACCTCTGGGATGCTCCTTCTTGCAGTAGCCAACCCCTTTGGTTGACAAGTGGTAGAACCTCAGGATGCTCCTTCTTGCGGTAGCCGACCCCTCGATTGATGAGTATGAACCCCCATTCGGTTGTTTGTAGCTTTGAGATGCTCCTTATTACGGTAGCCAACCCCTTGGCTGACAAGTGGTCGAACCTCAGGATGCTCCTTCTTGCGGTAACCGACCCCTCGGTTGATGAGTATGAACCCCCATCCGGTTGCTTATAGCTTTGGGATGCTCCTTCTTACGATAGCCAACCCCTCGGCTGACAAGTGGTAGAACCTCAGGATGCTCCTTCTTGCGGTAGCTGACCCCTCGGTTGATGATTAGTAGAACCTCAGGATGCTTCTTCTTGCGGTAGCCGACCCCTCGGTTGATGATTAGTAGAACCTCAGGATGCTTCTTCTTGCGGTAGCCGACCCCTCGGTTGATGAGTATGAACCCTCATCCTGTTGGTGCAGTCCACTTTGTAGGACTGGTGGTGGTGGCGGCTTACTGCTCTAGCTCATGCACCGACTCCATGGGGAGTGATTCTTGCTTTGATAAATGTTTTTTACTTTTTGTAGTCATCTGGTGCGCCGGAGATTCTTTGATTTTTGGCTTTTTTCAATAGCCATCCAGCTTGTTGATTGCTGGAGATTCTTTGTTAAATGCCTCTGAAGTAGGCAAGAATTCACTGAGGATTTGTTGGTTTTTATGGTGCCTCTTGAGTAGGTGGATATCCATTTGAGGATTTTTTGATGGTGTCTCTAAGTAGGCAGATGTTTCAAACAGATGTGAAGGTTTCATGATTGCGTTGTTTTGCCTCTGTATAGGCTGATATCCCATTCTGGGGATGTTGGCTCGAATGACCCTTCTGGGGATGTGAGTCTGAAATTTGCCTTTGTCATAGGCTCACTGATGATGGTTTTTCTCTTTTTGATGATCCATTGGGGATTGATTGCTTTCCCAGGGATCTGATTTTGGTTTTCCCCCTAGAGTTTTGACTCCTTGTTAGGTATTGGTGTGAGCTGGTTTTGCGATGCTCTTATTTCATTGGGGAATGGGCATTCTGTTTACCTAAAAGTTAGGATTTTAATTTCTCCTTTTTTCGCGATTTATCTCTTTTTTATCGCAATTTTGAAATTTGGCTTTTTTATGGGGGATAACGCATGTGCCTTTTTACTTTTTAGTTTCTTTTATGCACGCAGGCCTTTTTCTCTTTTTGGGGATCCGCAGGGGATAAAGTTTTCTTTGGTGATCCACCAGGGGATTATCGACTTCTTGGGGATCTGATTTTTCTTTTCTGGGGGATGGAGTCTTGGCTCCTTGATTGATGTGAGTTGTCCTTGTGAAACTCTTATTCTACTGAGGGATGAGAATTTCTTATTCATTCTTTTTGTAGACTTTTCTTGGGAGGTCCACTTGGGGATTTTTATTCGGCCTTCTCTGTTGCGGCCCTTTCTTTTGGATATCCGCTGGGGATGCAAGGGTTTTCTTCTTTTTTCCTCTTTTTGTTGAGCCCTTGATGGTATGGAGATTGGACTCTTTTGACTGTTGATGATGATGGGCTCTTGAAGCCTTTATTCTCCATTAGGGAGTGTGGAGGAGACTTTGGGTGAGTGTGCTCGATGACTCATGTAGTGGCAATGCGGAGTCGTGGGGTAATATTTGTGTTGCCTCTGGAGTAGACAAGAATCCGCTTGGGGATAACTAAGCCTTTTCGTCGGCTTTTCTTTTATGATGTCTGATGATTGTGCCCTCTTTTATTGGGTAGAAGAATGATGACTGGAGTTTTGGCTTCTGGAAGCTTCTTATTTCTTTTAAGCTATTTGATGATGACAACTCGCTCTTCTTTCTTGAGGGAGAGCAATGTTTGGAGTCTTCTTATTTGTGCCTTTTTTTTCTCGGGTAGAAGGATGGTAGCTGGAGCTCTTGATTTTTGGAAGCTCTTATTCTGCAGAGTTGCTTGATTGACGACTTGCTCCGTTTTCTTGAGGGCATTATTTGGAGACTCGGTCTCGGTGATCCTGTTTTCAATCACAAACATGGAGCTAGTCTCCTTATATGCATGGATGCTTTTCGTTTTTTGTTATTTATCTAAAGTGATTTTTATTTCTTTCATTTCTGACCTTGAAAAAGTCGTTTTGTTCGACTACTTATGCGTGGATGCCCTAAATGCAATCTATCCTTTTATTTGATGCATCTAGAGAAGTAACTGGCATTCTCTTGCTGAATATGTTGATTGGCCCCTCTCTTTTATTTATTTTTTGGTTTAGCCCTAACTTTTGCCTACACCGCCCTTTTGGGGTTTTCGATCTAGCGGGCTGCCTTAATTTTTGCCAAGTATATCTTAGCGGCTTTTTTCCTTTTTTATGAATACCCTAACTTTTGCCTAAGAATCTCCTAGCATACATTATTCTTTTTATTTTCATTTTTTCTTTCTCTTCTTTTTTTTTTGAGAGATAGGACCCTATCATATGCATGCAATGTTTGCGATATGCATCATACAATGCTATTTCAATTAATATTTCAAAAGGATTAATCAAATGTGCTTTTTCTTCTGACGTGTTTCTGTCATTATGTGCTTTTGTTGACATGATAGGTTGTACCGATTTTGCCGTCTTGATTTTGCCATGACCGAAGAATGATTGTGTTGTTTGTAGAGCGACTTGCCATGTCAGTGCGCCCCTCCCTTTTCTTGGGGGTGTCAATCCTCCTATTGATTACTAACTCCACATTTCCCTACTAATTACTAGAATGTCGTAGTGGTAAGGGTCAAGAGAAAAGAAGGAAAGTTATTTATTCAAAGGCTTGTGTTTTAGAATTGTTTTATTTTGACAAAAAATGGTTTTTGTAAGCACGGCTAGCCAAGGTTGGTTAGAGTGTTTAGGCTAGTTTAGACAAACGTTTTGTTTATGAGGTGGTGTCTTAAATGATTATTCAATGGCGCCTATCATGACTGATTAACTTCCCTAGTCTGCCCTTTGGGTTTTCAGCCTAGGATATTGTGCTATGTCCTAACTTTTGTCTAGGTTTCCTCTTTTCTTGCTTTGGG